AACACTGTCTAGCAGTCTATAATATTAGTGAGTTATCCTCAGAAGTTATTACGGCTCTTTGCTTTTGATTCTCAACATAAATCTAACTAAAAGCCCCCAATGGTAGCCATACTACTACTTCCACATTTGATTGCCTTGAAATGTCTTCTACAAGATTAGTCAGTGTCCACTGGGGAGATAGATCAGCAGGCTAAGCACCTGCCTGGCAAGCGCAAGGTCCCGAGTTTGATCCCCAGTACCAAATGCTGTGCGGGCCCTGGGTTCCCAGGCACACACCTGTAATCCCAGCACTGTGGAAGCTGAGACAGGAGGAGCACTATGAGTCTGAACTGTGTAGCAAGACCCTGTATCAAAAGGATAAAATTATTTAAAAAAATAATAATAAAAGATTAATCAGTCCAAGGCAAAGTCTCTGGATAAAACCAAATTGCAGACAAACTTTCTGCCAAGCCATAACACATATTAGAATCCAACAATCAATGCAGTCCTTCTTTTAAGCAGATAACCTCCTAAGCCTGGTCTTTACTGGCAGGATTTCTATCAGCCTTCTGGACTGAGCTCTGACCAGACATAAATCATACCACCATATAAAACTGTTTTACAAACAACAAAAACAAAAACAAAAAACTGTTCTACAATAAATATCCAGGCTGGGGAGATGGCTCAGTGGAATAAGCGCTTCCTTGGCAAGTGCAAGGGCCTGAGTTCAATCCTGTTCTGCCAAAAAAACAATAAATATCCAAGGGAAGGAAAGAGGCAGACAGACAGCTGGCAAAGCAAGATGCACTACATGTGACATGCAGATGAGGGCACAGGTGGCTTCACTGTACATTCTCACTGCTTCTACACTAAGGATTTTCCATGAGAAAAACAAACATGCACGTATGCACATACATATCTGCTGGTGCACTGTTCCCGAGAGCTGGGAAGCAGGACTGGCATGCGTCTCACAGAAAGGAAAGGGAAGGAGACTGCTCCACCCTACTTGTACTGGCTGGGGCAGCTGCAGCGTCCCAAGCCCTGGCAGTTAGCTCTCTGAACACCAGGGCCTTTACTGAAAATAGAAACATTTCCTGTGGGGCCCTCTAGAACTTCTGCTTTTGCCACTAGAGCACCACTGGACAGGCTTTCGCTGGCAGATACAGCAGTAATGTTGCATCCAATTCAGGTTTCTATTGTGGAACATGGGGTTTTCCCAAGACAAGGCAGGCTTCATGAGATCGGATGAAGTCAATGATTACTCTTCTATTTGCAGCTTGGTTTACTCCAGACAATCAACTTCCCATCTCTGCACAATACATAACTATCTCAACCTGCCAGGGCGGGGCTGGCACAGCATGGAATACTGGGGATTGAAGCCAGGTCCTTGCCCATGTCAGGCAGGCACTTAGACTAACAAGCTATCTCCTTAGCTCCACCCCCTTATCTTTAATTGCTAATCAAAAGGTTGCATAGTATTTTGGGGTGGGGAGGGGTTAGGTATCTTTTAGCTACAGGATATAATCCAGACTCCTGAGCTTGGAGCTAACTATCCAGACTCAGCCACAGAGATCCCTGGCACATTCCTAATACACACTAATATTCATAAGCATTTCCACAGTGGCAGCATCAACAAGCATGGCCCTTTACAACAAGGTACTCAAGGTTCTGTTCTTATCTCGGTTTTGCAGATGAAGAAACTGAAGTACAGGGAGGCTGAGCAATCCTCCCGTTAAAGATGGCAATGTTAGAATTCAAACACCATTGAACACTGCAGACCTGTCATCCCAGCCATGCTGTCTCTGGCTCTGAGACCACTTAGGTCTGCATCTGCTACTCACTGCTCAGGTGGCCACAGGCGGGAGAGGGAGGCCAGGCTCCAGGGCAGAGACAGTGAGAACAGAGACACAGCGTCAAGCTCAGTTTCTGGATAAAGTCACCTAGGGGCTGCATCCTCCTGCCAACTGTCAAATGATCTCACTGCCCTTGGAAATGGTGACAGTTCTGAAGCAGGCTGTGAGGCACGGGTTAGCAGTACGCCCAGTGGTTATGCACTCAGGCCCATGTAAGGATGCCACTTCCAACCCAAGTGCCCTCAAGCAAGTCACTCTTCCTCCCTGTGCTGCTGGGTTGAACAGCAGTCCCACAGCTGGCAGAGTGAGGAGGAAGGTAGGAGACTCCACCCTGCATACCCCAGGGCACAGCTGTGAGGTGCAGGCCTAGATGGACAGGTAGCTGGACACAGTCCAGAGCCCCAAGCAATGGGAGCCAAGCTTGGCCTGCTTTCACCTCAGGGCTACAGAGGCCTCATCCTCATCCTCACTGGTAAGGAGAGAAAAAGCAGCCAACTCACACAGTGCTTGGAGACTGAATAAGTCAACATCTGTCAAGTATGACAGTACCACAGGTACGAAGTACAGCAGGGACAGGAACAGAGAAAGGCCCAAGGGCTGGGGAGATGGTTCAGTAGCCTAAAGCACCTACCTGGAAAGCTCAAGGTCCTGAGTTCAATCCCCAGTCAAAAAAAAAAGGCCCATAATTACTGAGTTATTTTTTTCTTCAGGAAAATGGCAATAAAAGGAGGCTCAGGGTGCAGTTCAGTGGGAGAGCTCTTGCCTAGGGGGTATATGGGTGCAGTCTTTAGGGTGTGCACGTGCATTTGTGTGTGTTGATTTGGGTTTTTTGTTTTGTTTTGTTTTGTTCTTTTCTTTTCTTTTTTTCCCCTGTAACTGTGATTGAACTCAGGGCCTCACAAGTGCTAAGTAAGCCCTCTACCCCTGAGCTATACCCACCTGTACATATTCTTTTACTACTTGATTAGTTTTACCTTTTTTTATTTGGCCAGGTTTCCCCCATTTCTTCTCTTTCCCTTACTTCCTTTGTTCTCTCTCCTCCCTTCCCTTCTCCTCCTCTTTCTTTTCTTCTTAACAAGGTCCTGCTAGATAGCCAAGCTGAACTTGATATCGTAGGCCAGTCTGGCCTTAAGTCCCAAGCTTCCTGCTTCCGTCTCCCACTTATAGGCATGTGTGGACAACATGCACACAGCTTGGTTTTTATCTGCTTTGTTTTTTCTTTTTTGAGGCAGTTTTGCTATGTTGTCCAGGCTGGTGTCAAACTCAAGGGCTCAGACGGTTCTCCCACCGCAACCCTTACTCAGGTGGGACTAGAGGCGTGGGCCACCACGCTGGCTTTTTCCCCATGTTTTACTCTGTGCTCATATATACAGACTTACCTCCATCACTGCTAACTATCCTTTATAGTTTTATATCATTAATTTAATCATCTCCACTGCAGCTCAAAGTTTGGTCCTGTATTCATATAGATCACTGATGGTGAACCTTTTAGAGACTGTGCACTAACCTGCAACCCAGAACCCACTTATTTATCACAAAGTGCCGACGCTGCAATTAAACCTGAATACTGAGGTTTCAGTTTAGAAAAAGCAACTCATACATTAACATCTTTAAAAAAAAAAATACAGGGCTGGAGAGATGGCTCAGTGGTCTAAAGCACCTACTTAGAACAAGCTTAGCAAAAGCATCAGGGACCGCGGTTCAATCCCCCAGCACCACATGCCAGCCAGCCCTGCCCCCTGGTGGGCTGAGCTGGTCTCTCTCTCTCCCCTCTCTCTCTCTCTCTCTCTCTCTCTCTCTCTCTCTCTCTCTCTCTCTCTCTCTCTCAAATAAATAAAATTTAAAAAAAAAAAATACAATAATATGTGTGCCATAGGTTCACATCACTGTTATAATAGATACATCTTCATTTCCTTAAGTAAATTTGCTTTAACTAAACAAAATAAATGAAAGTGAAAATACCTGGGCCCTTAAAGGCAGCGGGCCCCAGGAGCTTCCCTGGGTCCTGGTCCTCCTCCCTGCTTCTTAGGGAAGCTGCTGCAGGCCCTGGCAACACAGCTTCTGAGAAGTCTGGCCGGGAAGAGCTGGTTTCTGCACCCTGTTTCCCTGGAACAAGATGGAAGGAAGGTCATTTTGTGATGTGGGAAAACTACTAGGATCAGAAATCTAAGTTCTACTCCAAGCTCCACCACAGATACAGTGCGCAGCTATGCCTGCCCGGCTATGGCCTCCTCATCGGCACAGTGGGGGACTGGACATGACAGTCCCACAAGGGCCCTGCTCTGACACCCTGCACCACATACACTATTTGGTGCCAACTCTATGTCCTCAGATGAGTTATTCCCGTCTCTGAGCCTCTTTTCCCCACCTACAAAGAGGAGCTCATGAAAATAACATCTGTGCCGGGCATGGTGGCACAAGCCTATAATCCCAGCACTCAGGAGGCTGAGGCAGGAGGATTGTTGAGAGTTCAAGACTACAAAGTGAGCTCAAGGCTAGCCTGAACTACATACCGAGACCTGTCTCAAAAAGACAAAAGAGGGCCAGGGAGATAGCTCAGTGGCATAAGCACCTGCCTGGCAAGCATAAGGTCCTTAGTTCAATTCCCGATACCAAAAGAAAGAAAAAGAATTCTGCATGATTACATCCCAGGGCTGTTGTGAGTACCTGCCTGGCAGGCCTTTTTTTTTTTCGGGAACTGGGCATTGAACTCAGGCCCTTTCATTTGCCAGGGAAGCGCTTGTTCCACCAAGCCATCTCCCTGGCCCCTGCTTAGCAGGCCTGAGGCCCTAACTTCCATGCCCAGCTCTGCAATAAATAAGTAAATAAGTAAATAAATAAATAAATAAAACAATAAAATGCCCAACCCCCTAAGTAACCTTGATCTTAACAGCCCTAGCTGAACTACAGCTTCCCTACTCTCAGCTGAGGTGCACAAGCTTTGCCTGGTGTTACACATGGGCTCCTATACCCAGCAGTTCTGTCTGTCAAGAGCCCACTGGGCCAGGGCCAGCCGAGTGCAGTGCACCTTGAACAGCTTTGTGTTCCATCCTTGATGAAGACAAGGAACTAGGACCAGAACAGATGAAGCGACTAGCCCAGGGGACAGGGGACTGGCTGCAATGGTTACCTCCTTCCCAAAGAGTCATTACTTCCCCTTGGCATGGTTTTGGAAAAAACCACAGGTTCTGTGAGGCCTGGGGATACCAGCTCTACCCAGTGTCTCAGAGCTCTGAGGGTCTGCTGCGGAGATGCCCTACACAGGAGGCACCCAAGTCACAACTGGAGGGCAACAACCCCACACTGTTAGCAGCTGCCAGCCCAGCACCAGTGCCCTGAAGAGGTTCCAGGTTCCTGAAAAAAAAACCTTTCAGTGAGCTTTGGGTTTAAAGTTCTTCAAAATGCAAGCAAGAAACCCTGTGTACAAACATCAGTGTCTGCAGCTGGGTATGGCTCAGGAATACAGTGCTGGCCTAGCACGTTTGAGGCCCTGGGTTCAAGCCCCAGTGCTACAAAGAAAAGAAAGCAAAGCAGAAGGTATTGGACGTCTTCCCTTCTACTCCAGAACTGCTGACCTCAATCTGAGTTGGAAAGGAAGGACAGGCCTCTGCCTTACTTCCCACAGTTAAAACCAGCAGAGAACAGTGGCCTCTCAGTCCTCACCCGGGGGAAGCTTGGTCTCTAGTCACTGAGCAGATGCGACACCTACTCTCTCAAGATGCCACACCAAGGAATAAAGCCATCAGCAAAGGGCAGGAGGAGGCCAGCGAGCCACACATGTGCAGGTGAGGTGGTGAGGAGGGGTCCTCCTGCCTGGGTTCCCTGCCAGCCACCTGAGGGGCAGGTTGACACAGTCCTGGCCCTGGCACTAGGCTGGCCAGTGGCTGTATGGCGGGAAGAAGGCGCAGGCAGAAGCCCTTCTCTGCCCCTCGCTCTCATCAGGGATGGCTGATGGCATGATTTCTTTGTCTCTCTGCTCTGTATTTTCAGTGTCCCAGGCTCTCTGATGAGTGTGAACCACTGACTGGAAGCCAAACAATGAGCTCACAGCATCCTGGCAGGAATTCCAGCCCTGACAGACTCTGCAGCAGGCTCACTATCAAGGGAACCATCAGACAAATGAGACCAGAAGCTGGGCTCTCCACCACCTGAAGAGCTGCCCTGAGGCCAAAGCAACTGCTCAGGGGACACAGCTGCTACTGCTCATCACTGCTACTGTCACTCTGAGCCTCTGAAACGCAGTTTCTGGGGGCCAAGGCTAACTGCGAAGCAAGGGAAGGTGAGGACAGCTGCTTAGCGCAGTCTGCTTTCCCAGGCTGCACTTCCTGCAGTGAATATTTTTGCTCACTGAGGCCCTGGCTGACCCAGGGGCCTGGACCTCCTCCCTTGCTGAGGGGACACAATACAAAGGCCAAGCAGCTCTGCTCCCTGCAGCAGAGCGGCCTCAGCTGCCAGAGCCCTTGCCTGATGGGCGCACTCTGGACACCCCCTCCCTCACACCCTTCACATCAAACAGTGATGCAATATTCATGCATTTGATTTTATTCTTCAGCTGACTATGGCTATTTGCTAAAGCAAATGGAAGTGGTTCTGCTATACCCAAAGAACCCTGGTCAGCTGCCCACGCCACAGGCACTTGGAGCTTTCTGGGCCAGCTTTTCATTTCCCTTCTTATCCCTCAGCTTGACCCTCCTGAACACATGCACACACACACAGCATGCGCCATCCAAACTCCCAGCTCTAGCCAGACACAAAATTGGATGAGTCTGACAGCAGGACTTGTCTTCTTGAGGCTCTGTCCCAGGCTCTCAGAGAGCCTCCCCCTGGCCACTAAGGTAACTCATTCTGCCTCACCTCGTGGGTGCCCTGTCCTGGGGGTGGGATGCCACCCTTACCAACACGCACAGAATCCTGACATGGGGCTGAGCAAAAGCGGCCGAGGCACTAGGACTTTCTCATCGTGGTAAAGCACAGTGAAGGCCTGGGTTCAATCCCCAGTACTATAAAATAAACAAACAAACAAAAAAAGAGATGTCTTTTTTCCCCCCTTGGTACCTGGGATCAAACTTAGGACTGTGTGCTTCCAAGGCAGGTGCTTAACCACTGAGCTATCTCCCCATCCAGGGAGCTACGTCATTTTAAACTGAGAGGATTCATCCTGAAAAGAAACTTAAGGAGGGAAACCTGACAGACCTACTGAAACAGGGGGGTTCAGGCACACCCCACTTAGCACGTACCACGAAGCAGAGTCGCAAAAGATGGAGAGGATCAGCCACAGGAAGAATGCAGGGGTGGGGTCAGTGCTGCAGGAGCAGCAGGCAAAAGCCCTGAGTGCAGGACATTTTGGTACTGCTCAGACGCAGGCTGACCCTCGACCCTCGAGGCCAAGCTGCAGGAAGGAAATGAGCACTGGCAAGATCAGACCTCCAGGGCTCCCACAGACGTTGGTTCGGCAGACCCTTGCACAAATGTGTGTGAGCTGAGACAAGTTAACCCTGCACCCATGGCTCCACTCACAGCCCAGACTCCGTGGCAACCTGGCTGCAGCGGAGCGACCGGTTCTGGCCAGAGATTCTCCCTGCCACTGCTGCTCACAGCAATCCATATCCACTGCACTTCTTCCCTTCTTCTCTCCCTGCCACAGTCACCCCAAGAGCCCTGTGTTCTCGACACACTTGGCTTCAGGCTTCAAGAAGGCAGGAGGTGAGTAGGACAGGCTCGTGCACCCCGTAATCCTGCCATGGAGAAGGCTGAAGTAGGAGGATCAAAGTTAGAGCTCAGCATGGGCAACTTAGTGACTACCTATGACCGTATCTCAGAACAAAAAGTACAAAAGCACTGGGGATATAGACGCCCCAGAGCTGAAAAACAGAACGCAAGGAGTGGCCTGACCCACATTAGACTTCATAGGTGAAACCAATCTTTGTTGTGTGGAACAACGGGGATTTGAGGGCTCGTGTTAAGTAAGATACAACAGTCAGGACAGCTTACTGCATAGCAGACTTGGATAAACAGGCGCTCACTTCAACCCCCTCCTACCATCCCTCTGAAAACTTAGGGACCTGGCCAGGGAGCTAGCTCTGCAGTCTAAGTGCCTGCCTGGCAAGCACAAGGACCTGAATTCAATCCCCAGCACCACATGCCATGCCAGCCCTGCCCCGAACCAGCGACTGAAACCATGGATGGTGGCACATGCATGTAATCCCAGCACTGGGGAGGCTGGGACATTAGGATCACTATGAGTCTGAGCTGCCCTTTACCAAATAAATAAATAAATAAATAAATAAATAAATAAATAAATAAATATTTTTAAAAAAGATTAACTACTTTAAATTAAAAAAAATAGGGAGACCCTGTACCAAATACATAAAAATTTTTTTAAAAAGAAAATTAGGGACTAGTTCTTTTGTTTGGACTTTTCCTTTTGCAGTACTAGGGATTAAATCAAAGACCTTCTATATGTAGAAGATGGGCAAGGCAATGATCCTGAGAATCTCCAGAAGATTTTTGAATCTAGCAGTTAATTGGAAAGATTCTCACCCTG